CGTTATTATACATGTAGTTTTCGATTGTTACTTTTGTGTCACACGAGGAAGGGGTTTTAGTCAACTGTCTACTGTGATAGCTTGTCCATTACTATTACGCTATTAGGAGGAATGTTTGAAACTAGTTTGTTTTTAAACCAACTTTCAAATAAATCAGCGGTGGTGTCTTCATGGTAATCCAGAGAAGAATCTTTAATATTTTTCGCAGACAGAGAAAGTTCATTTGGAATCCAACCATCTTTAGAGCCAGCATGCAAAATAGTTATTCTTTTACCTCTTTTTGATGGCGCGTTTGTTTTAGACTTATCAGTTGAGACAACCCAACTCTTTTCCGGGGTATCATAAGTGTCGAACCAGGTTTCATCCAAGTAAATAATTGGCCTTTGTTGTTCTCTGTAAATCCTACTTTTTTCGTCGCCATTTCCTAATTCTAAAAGATTCCATTAAAACTTGCCTTTTGTCAATTTTTTTAATTCTAAAACCCATGTGTTGAATACACTTCCATAAGGTAGTTCACCACAGAATATTAAACACAGGTAGGTATAAAATTATTTTCTATTACGGACCACAATTTTACCTGAATTTAAATTCCGAAATTTTAGGCAATAATCTTGTTGCATTGTATGTTAATGATCACCCGTGGATAATCCCATTTAAAAGCAATTGGTCACTTGCTTATATCTATGAACAGACCATACAAACTACAATTCTGAGAACTTAACCAAGAGCTGTTCTTGTGCTTCTGTACCTGTACTGCTTGAGAAAGTTAAATACAAGGACTATGTTTGTGGTGACTTAAAAACTGTGGGACTTATCGAGGTCAACAGTCAAGTCATACGTAGTACCATTGCTGGCTGAAAAAGAACTGGCCACAAAGGGTTAATTTTATTTAATTTATTATTATTTAATTTATTTTTTTTTTTTCTTGTACTAATAAAAATAATGTTTAAATCAGAGATTTTCGTTTATTAATTCTCTTATCGTTAAAAAAAAAAACTTATAAAAAAAATGCTTATCAGAGTATATTCAGTTGATTTCCATTTACTTTTCCCACACATGCATCAGTTAATAATGATAAAATTCAAATTCCGATCGATGACCAATTTTTTGTACCCTTATCTAGAGAGAGACGAAATATCAAGTTCCGCTCCAGAAATTCGATCTTTCCACGTCGGGACACAACAATGACGATCGTGCGGACGGTGATGCAATCGCATTGGCAAAGTCGTAATTAGCTGCTTGCCCAATAAAAAACACACATATGCAGGCCGAGCAAATTATTTATTACGATTGAATAGTATAAGGAAACTCCCCCTACGGGACGGCGTTTAAGCGTACACAATAAAACAATATGGAATATATTAACACGTTACGCGTCTACGTGTGCAGATTTATGCAACGAAAACTAATTATTTTGATTCTAATTACCGCTTCGAGCGGACTTTAATTAGGAGATGCGTTACCGCGAATAAATGACGTGGGATTTAAGGCAGGATGCTCGGGTTATGTAATATGGGAATCGATAACACTGCGAACTGTAAATTTCGCTATTAAACTAAATTAATATCAATATTAAAATAAAAAAAAGTATTGCAAAAATTAAAACGTGGCTTTAAAAAACTTAAACGGGTCGTTCTTTCTCTCCTTTTAGCCCTTCTTTAAGGTTATATACAGGATGTTCTGTAAGCAATGAGCCTAGTTTTTATTTCATATTCTTCGTAGGAAATCAGTAGTACTTTCCTATATGAACATATACCTGGTGTTATTCAAGGTTTGAAAATTACGAAAAGAACTATTTTTGATATTATCATTTGCAAAACATACATTAGTGACATTTTCGCTTTGGAACAGCAAAACACTTTTTTGATGCGAAATATTTTTTTGAAACTTTAGGTTTTCATCATAATTTTCGAGATTTTGTTTTGTTTTTACTTCGATGGGTGAATCATTAAAGAAAAAAATCGTCAAGACGTGGAATACGTGCCAAATTGTAAAAATATTCCATACAAATCGTATGTCATACTTTATATATATATATATATATATATATATATATATATATATATATATATATATATATATATATATATATATATATATATATATATATATATATATATATATATATATAATGCCCAAATAATAAAATCTTTAAAAGCACCTAATTTGTTCCATAAAAAATATTCGATACTAATCCACTCGCCCTGTATAACGTTAAATGAAGGCTAAAAATGAGAGAGACAACGTCATGTACCAAAATTTCTGTTCCTATTTATATTATTTATATATATTATCACGCTAACGCACGGAGTATTTTTTTGTTTTGTTTTGTGCTACATTAATATGATACAGGTTGTCCCAAACATGGTAAAACTGATACGTTTGTATTTTCTTAACCTAAGTGAATAACATTTTTGGATTTTATTCTGTTCAAATTTAGAGTTTTAATTTCTACAATATATTTTTTATTTTACTAATTAAGTTTTACGTAAGCGAAATTTGCAATAAACTGTAATAATTAGCCATATTTCATATCCCAATTATGAAAAATTTCCCATCGTTTACAGGTTTTACAAAAATTTATCCTAATTTAATTATTACTTCGGGCTATAATTTGATTAATTTTAAATGTTACGCCATATTTGTTGATTGACCGGAGAGTGTAATTCTAAATAAAAGTTTTATTGCATCTAGTTGCTAATGACATTTAGAAATGTCAAATAATCTCTTTACACATTTACAATACATTCACTGACATGACTGTCAGAATTGACAAACGTCAAAATCCAAAGCGTGGGAAATATCTCCGAAAACATCCGTTTGCTCCCAAATCCGTGCGGAAAAATCCCGGAAATGTCCGAAGTGGCTCGGATTCATGGGAAACGAAACTAGAGTAGAAAAATTACTTTTTCTTCTCCCTTCTGCAAAATACCTAATTTTACCACATCACTTTCGTTTCCCATGGATCCGAGCCACGTCGGACATTTCCGGGATATCACCGCACGGGTTTGAAAGCAATCGGATGTTTTCGGAGATATTATCAATTTTGGGGCTCAATGTATTCGTGCTATTTTGCAAAAATAAATCACTTGTCGCATAATATACTATTACAGAAACACTAACCCATCCGATGTATATTGGTTATACGAAAACTTTTGGTGTCGAAATTATGTTTGTTATTGACGTTGAACTTCCCAATAAAAATACTTTATGGTAAAACCAAATAAAACACCCAAAGAGACCACAAAATAATAAATACCCACGAGCTTACAACTACTTGAGACAACGCGCCTGTGTTCTCTGCCTCGTAGCACGGTGGAATTTGGATTCTTTTTCAAGGTCGTCTTCATACAAAGTCTACTCGTTTTACAATAAAGTTATGCCACTTTTCAAATCCTTTACGGTTGCTGCTTTCGAGATGATGTAATTTGATCTGATCATCACAGGTGAACCTTTCTTATTTTGTTTTTACTTGTATTGTTTTGGTTCGTTAAGCCAGTTGGATACAATTTTGAATTATGGTCGCCCCGTACATCTACTAAACATATGGAGGCCAGAAATATAGAGTTGCGAAAGGACATATGCGCATGCGCGAGCCACGTCAGAACTCGCTTCTGGCCAATAGGAGCTGTCATTTGAACCAATACGACCTTGTCGCGTTTAACTCTGAACGTGGCAGCTAACAATTCGCACAATGTAAAAATAATAAATATACATCCAAATAGTAACAATGATATATTCGAAATATCTTCCTAGTATCAACAATTAAAATTATTATAAGCAATCGTTTCCAATTAGTTTGCTGTGACTGTAATCTCGTTCGTTATCCCTCAAATTGTTTTTTTGTCATTTGGGAAATAATACATAAAGTAGTCGTGAAAAACTATTTAAGGGGTTCTGTTTCTGTTCTGCATTTTAAACGCTACGAATCCCAGAAAAAAATCAAAATTTATGCCCATATTTTATGAAGGTATAACCAAAACTAATAACTGTATAACCAAACTAATATCTAGGTCACTCGCTTGCTCACAGAACTCTAGTCAAGTCTTTCAGTTCTACAGGTACATTCGATTGCCTCCACCTCTGCATAGAGGTACATACTGAGTTGAAGGAAGTAAGGCACCTTCGGCATTTCAAAAATTACGTTAACATAATTGAAATGTATTAATACTTATATAGTTTCAATCGTACACATTTGTACAAATTTTTGTATTACTAGTAACTTCTTTACCTTATCGCAAATCTATTGCATATATTCTTTCGGTCTCCTTTCTTACACATACTTGCAACTCCTGTCTTGCATTTTGTCCTTCAAATGTTCACGATTGTCCTGTCCCTTCCTTAAGATCAATACACCATTCTCTTCAACTTCATATTTTGTTTCTGTGCTTCTGAGATATATATTTGCAATAACTCGAATATACATATATTTATTATCCTTTAAACCTATACAGGGTTGAATGTTATAAAATACGACGTTTTTGCACTAAACAAGCAAAATGCCTTTTTCTATGAGCTATTATAAAATAATAAATCAATTTCACCTCGTTCCGTAACACCTTCTGCCTGAATAATACATAAAGTAGTCGTGAAAACTATTTTTTAAGGGGTTCTGTTCCTGTTCTGCATTACCCTATGAATTTACTACCCCAAAATTAACTGAATTCCTGTTTGAAAACGTAATAAAATGTTAATCTAGTAATTTGATATTTCTAAAAAAATCGCTGGTTCTAACCTAAACATTCTGTCACTCGATCACGTATACGTCACATCTCAGCTGTTGACGGATCCGCTGTTACAAATCATCCACCAGCCAAACCTGAACGCCGTTCGGGATTTTCGACCAATCGAACATTCGACCATTTATGGTGTTTCCTTTCCGAGGGCTTTATACAAGAAACGGAACCACTCTCATCCCCGCTACACTGTGCGAGCGATTGCCGCGTATTCGCCGCATCTCTCTCTCTCTCTCTCTCATTCGACCGAACGATTTGTGTCACCTTGATCTTCGCCGCCGTGGTACCGTCCTCGACGTCGGCGACGCCGTCGCGACGCCGGCGACAACAGCAGCAGAAAACGCACATCGTCACACTACGCACGACCGAGCAGTCGGACCTCGAACGATTTCCGAACTGAAAACATCGCGAAAGCACGCAAGATATAATATTTATTTCCAATAATAACCCGACGCAATCATTATCTCCGGCTCTCTCGTGACGGCGATCCGTAAACATCGGCCGATAGCCGCCGAAAATAAACAACAGCCTTACGACCGCTAAACCAACGCCGGGGACTAGAACGTAATTATATTTTTGCACGTACCGTACTGCTGTTGCTGCTAGCCGCGGCGACATGCCTCCTCGACCCTGACTCGTAAAAATCCGTCGAAAATAAACGGCAACAGGTTACCGGTCCGCGTGACCTGCGCGACGGAAAAAACAAACGCGGGTTTCGGCAGCGTTTCCACGGCAACCGTCCGGTCGCGGGCCACTCGATTTAAAAAAGCGGCGAAAGTGTTGCGCAACGGTGCGCGGCTTTGTGAGCGTACCGCGCGGATTGTTGACAAACGGAAGACTGTGCGTGCGTCCGTATGCACGAAGGTGGTTCCCGTTGTTGTCGATCCCGCCGTCGGGGCTTCCATACCGCCGGCCGCGACGTCTGACGGACGAGAAATTTTTGCTTCGACCGACCGACCGGTCGCGTTTACACGGAGGCCTAGAAACCGGGAACACCAAAAGGAATACGTCTGTGATAATTATGCAAAAAATCTAGGGCATACAGTTTTAAGGCTTCCACCTTACCACTGTATATTTAATCCCATTGAACATGTTTGGCACCAACTGAAATCTGCCATTCGTCGTAACAATGTTTTTCCCCATGTTAACTCCAATGTCCTCAAACTTATAGAAACCTAAGTTTTTAACATCCCTCCACAAAGTTGGGCAAATTCTGTTAAACATATAGAAAAAGCAGGACAATCGTATATCCATATTGCAAATAATATAGATTCTATATTAAAGAACAAATAATAATTAGAACAGGCGATGATAGCGATAGTGATACTGATATATCATGTGAATAATTTTAAGTAATTTAAGTAGGTAATAAAAATAATTTGTAAGTATATTTTAGATTTAAACATAAATACATATACAAATAAATAATTATTGTTTAGTATCTTTCCTAACAAAACCCCAAATAATTAGATTCTAAGCAAAGTACGGACCTGTTCGCTCATATTTCATTCTTACAGCTTGCCCGGGTCTTTCCTTAATTCGTATCAGTTAGTCACTTTCTTATATCTATGAACAGACTTTACCTAGCACCTGTTAAACCTCCTGCCCCATGGCCACGCCCGTACGGATGAAAACAGGGTCGGTTCGTGCGTGCAAATAAATTGCACCCCATATCCTGAGTTAACCACCTCCAGAAGGGCTTCGCTCTTCATTGCAGCGTTCTGCAAATCGCTCCCCTGGTCTTCGGTACACTTTTTCTCGTCGGTCGCTACCAAAAAGGAATATTCTGGTCTCATCTGAGAATGTGCAATTCAGATGATCCCGTGCAAAGCGTAGGCGTGCTTGTCGACGAGCTGTAGTAAGTTTTGGACCAACTGCAGTTGTTTTTGGTGTCAGGTTATTTTCCTTCGGTCTTCCTCTCACTGTCCACTGACTAATTCTTCATGGAGCTATTGTTGCATTAAGGTGATGATTTCTTATTATTGTTGACACAAAAAAAGCGGTCATCACGAGCCGTTGTAATTCGCCTTTTGCTCGTTGGCATAGTCTCTGAACTGCTGCGCTTGTCATATCCAGTTATCGAGCAACATCTCCCTGGTGAAGTCCGCTTTTGATTAAAGCGATAATTTGAGCGCTAATAATTAAACGCTATTCAAATGGTTAAAAACGAAAATTTCAGTTGCAAAGTCTATAAACAAGTTTCTTACTATCACTATAACTACTGCACGAACACGTTTCATCAGCGTATTATTTTTCGGGTCAGACGAATATTTTCTAGAAAAAAAATTTACATTGGGCCGATTTCTATGCACGCAAAGTTTTTATCAGAGGATTCTGGCTATTTCCCTTGCGCACCCTCGTATCTCTCTCTACGCTCCGTCCGTTAGTTATTAAATCTACGAGGAACGATTGCATTTTAAGCGAAAGTCTAAATCTAAATCTAAAAGAATAAATCGAGGAGGTCCGAAACGCCATCGCCGATTGGTTTGATACTGGCCGCGTAAACCGGACCGACCGATCGGATGCGCACGCGCGCGCACATTCTTGCAGAAGTATGAAGAACGAGCGCGTATCGCAGATCGAAAAATAAAGGACATTTTTACCTGGACGGACCGCGGGAGAAGCTGGTTTCGTTGACGTGGGCAGGTGAAGAAGACGCAACAGGTGAGGGACGTGGGAGGCGAGGACGTCAGCGGCGCGCGCCTGTAAATTTTCGCTAATAATAGGTTACTCGCACCTATTTTTTTTTATTTCTTATATATCTTTTCTTAATGAGTGTGTGTGCATGTGTAACGATGTTTATAGTGTGGATCAATAAACTAAACCCAAAAAAATAAACATGTCATTTAGAAGATATATTGTCTAGTATTTAGTATGAGTTTAAATTTGTCAAGAGTGCCGTTCTTTTATATGCGTAGCTACGATTAAACGAATGAAAAGTGTTCATGCAGTAGTTATAGTGATAGCTAATTTGACCGTGCAGTTATTTTACTATGCTAAACCTAAAAAGCAGAAATAAATTTTAATCAATCGGAATAAAGCGTATTCCAGAATGTTTCTAAAATTAAGTTAAGTTTATTTGAAAAATTAATAACGTAGTTTCCCTTAATTTACAAAAGAACTCGGAAGTATAAAACGCAAGGTTAGGAACATATAAATTTAGGCCACCGCATAATATTTTTTCATTGAATCATTGAACCAGGTGGAAAAGTTTTAGTGCTACGTAAATAACAAAAACGTGTACAGTCAGAATAATTTCAAAAAATTCGCTGATACGGGAGCATTTTTTTCGCGAGAAATTTCCAAATCAATCAGCCTCTGAAAAAACTCTTCCAATCATTTTAATTAAGTAGTTTACTTCTTTAACAACTTGTTTCTCATGATTTCTCCATTTCTGTAGGTCGTTGTCGTAGAAGAAAATCGAGGAACGCTTCTCCATTAGTTATTTATTGCACTAGAAGCAAACTAACCAAACTGCTTCTCGAGTGGTCCAGATGACGTCACTGCCGCGTCACAGCGGGCGCAAATAAATCGGCGATGCGTTTTGGTTTAGTCTGTGCTTCGAATGACACTTGACATTGCGAACGTGTCCTGTTCCATGACCGTTGTTCCTAATGTTTGTATTTTTCGATTTTTGGTGCGCGAGTCGAACATTCGTTTTATGTTTATTGTTAAAAGCCGTTATTACAAGCAGGTGCTCGGTTTTCAAGGAAGAGACGTTCGCGTCCCACAAAATTGGGCCGCAATGAAAATACTTTCGTAGTACTAACTCGGATTTTTATTTGACGAGCCCGCGCGTAACGCTCGTAAATTATTTGGCACTAACGGGAGTCCTAACCGTTTCATTTTACGCGTTTTATTGTCGGGCCATTAACGCGTATACTTTAACACGACTGTCCCCGAATACGATATATGTAAATGACCGCGATACGTGAGCCCGAAACCGGAAATTTCGAGGTTTGTGGAAAGGAAAAAGAACACTTGGTCGACTTACCCAAAATATTCCCACCGATTCTGTTTCAATAATGGTGGATTCACGCAATCATTCAACATTAAAATTAAATAAATACGATTCACTGTGGCATTTAGTCAATTAATTAAAAATCAATAGCAAAGACAAGGTATACTTCTTCATAGAAAATAATTCCATTTTCGACCTCTTTTACAGAAAATAGCCCCTGAAAAAACACTTACTGCCATTTTCTGTTCAATTACTCTTGATTTAAAAGTCAAAATCAGAAAACAACGCTTTATTTCTCCACAAAATCTTATTAAATTAAACAAAACCTTAATAAACTTTACAGGTTGTTCCATATAACTATTAGATAATATAGCGGCTTTACTACGGTAAAAATTGATGTGAGTTATATGACAATAATGACTATATTGTATTTATTTATCAAGTGCGCTGTATAATCACTTTTAACATATGTGTAAGTATGAGTGCTCGCATTATTTTCCAGAATCTTATATTGTAACGCACATTGTAAGGTCCCTGTGACTCGAATAAAGTTTTTTTTTTTAAACTCACCCTGCCTATCGAATAACTTGCGCCGCAGGTGGCTATGATATTTTCGTAGAGGTGGATGGATCTTTTGCGCATGCGTCACCTGCGTCAATGACAACTTGCGACATTGCACGAATTTTTTTGGATAATTGATTAATTTTTATAAGAACGCAACATCCATCTTTGAGATCGGAACATAATTAGCAACGCCGAGTTAAGTAAGTGCCATTGTCAAATAAAAGTCTGTGCCCTGTACCAAGGTATAACTAAATTTCTACAAGTATTTCTGCATGGATTTTTAGCATATAAAAATTCTTAAATGGCAATTTGTTTTACGTCGCTTTCTTATTTAGATGGAATTTCGTTTTTTAAATGGGGCTACAATATGGCATATATTTTGTAATCCCAATATTACAAACAAGAGAAATGAGAATGTTGTTTTGAGGCGATAAATAAAATAAATTAATTATATTATTTTATTAATTATCCGAAACTAGCTTGTTTTATAATAGTGTTAATTTTCTTGGTTATGCAATTTTTTAAACCAATTGTTCATTGGCACTTTTTTTTAATTATATCCTCACTAGACTTGCGGTGAAGGAATGAGCGGCATTCTTTCTATAAAAGCTGCTTGAAACATTGAAGATGTGTCAACGCCCATATTGCTTGTTGAAAGCCTTTAGGCCTTATGGGTCCAACGTCAAAATTTGCAATTACAGCTACCATTGGTTAAAAACGAAATTTTAAATCTCGCGCATGCGCAAGTTGAATAGATCTTCTCAATTTTTTTTTTACATAGTTGCTTCATGAGTTCCTGTACTGTCCGCATAGGCGGGGCCTCTATATGTCTAGTAGCTATATGGGTTGTCCACTAGATTTCGCAAGTGTCAATTTTAAAGGTCAACAGGCACGCAAACGGTTTCCGCAAAAGCGCCCTATTATTAATTTTCTGATCTTGACAGTTGTTAGTTATTTTAATAAAATACCTTTTATAGCTAAAAGTTTGCTTTCAGGCATTTAGAAACCATGGAGTCCTGAAGTCCTATAAGTAAAATCTTAAAAATGGCCAGGGAGAAATTAAAATAAACGGTATTATTATATATTACCAATATTAATAACGAACAAGCTAATATTAACTACGAGAATTTACCACCTTCGGACACTTTGCAAATTTCTGGCCAAATATCTGAGGCAGAAATCCCCATTAGATCATGTCCCAATGAAATGCACTTGACTCTTGCTGTTTCAAAGATACATTTGCTACGACCCAACAGTTTATGGAAAAAATATCAAGCTTTAATTCAATCCCAGGATAGCAGCGAAGTTTTGTTTCCTTCCTTAACATTTTAGAAGACAGAGGCATTTGTTAGATTAATTCGGAATATAGTGTTTCGAGTGATATTACCAGACCGACAGTTCTGCGAATAGTAAATAAGCCGAATTACGAAAGTGATGATTCCGATGCTGATCCCATTTTCCCTATTGCACTGTAGATGTAGATGGCGTTGTGGACTAAAAGAAAATGATTGGCTGATTTGAAAAATCACAGGGAATTCATAATTCAAAACCAAAATATCGTTACTCAAGTACTCAAAATTATATGCTTTTTATTTTGCTATTGGCAATAATCGAATTAGGGTATATAAATCATTTTTAAAGCAACTTTGGATATTAATGTTAGACCCATTCGTACGGCTATTATATAATACGTTTAAGTCTATAGATATGCTAAAAATAAGAAATACTGGATCTCAAGGCAATTTAGAAGCAATTTTAGATATTCAGTTATATACACATAGTTTACCATTGTCAGAAAACAGTAAATTATGCAACAAGTGTGGTAAACGGCATTTGACTCACGAGTTTATTCGATACGAGCGAAGCGAGTGTTTAATAAACGAGAGTGACTTAAATAGTTTACCGAACGTGTTGCATACTATACTTTTTCTACGACCGTTAGTTTTTGGGTACATTTTCGCAAAACAACACGAATACATTCACTGACAGGACCGTCAGAATTGACAAACGTCAAAATTCAAGGCGTGGGAAATATCTCCGAAAACATCCGATTTGCTCCCAAACCCGTGAAGTAAAATCCCGAAAATGTCCGAAGTGGCTCGGATCTGTGGAAAACGAAACTGACGTGGTAAAATAACGCTTCCCGCACGCTAGTTATAAGAGTTAGCCGTCAAACTGCACTGAACAACGGCTACAATCCGTCAATTATAGATGAAATTATAAATAAAAAACAAATCCAGACAACAGTAAACTATAGTGAAAAAGTTTCGAAATATTTGTCTAAATGTGGTTAAAAATAACTTTCAGAACCAACAACACAATAGGAAAATTTTTAAAAAACAATAAAACGAAATGTCGAAAATCTCAAAAATCAGGTTGAAATACCGATCTTGTCCTAAAATTTATATTGGACAAGCAGGTAAATCCTTTACGAGACGCATTAACAAACATAATACAGCGTTTAAAAACAATAGTCTAGATTTTAATTATGCTACACACTTAAACACAGAAAAACACATTTTTGAAGACAATTTTGATATTTTACACACAGCCAAAAAAGTAGAAAATTAAATTTATTATTACTTATTATTATTACTGCTATTATTTATTACTGCTTAACGATCAATTAAATCTAAATACCTCTCCATTATTAAACTTAAATTCTCACAACAACCTTAATTAGGGTTTTATTGTCATTTTTCAGTATATATAGTAGCAGGTAGTTTGTAAATATTACATTTGATAAAGTCACGGTGTTGTCGAAACAACTGTCACGTGAATGTATATAATTTCGTGAAAATCTGAACTCTTAGTTCTTATTTATTTTGTTAAATGGATTTTCATCAAGTAAAAGCCAAACTCATTCCACTTTTCTTTCATTATAGATCGGGTGTCACTGCTTATGACACTGCCAGATAACCTAAAACACATGCCACTAACGACGAAGCAACCCCCATGCGTGAGCTTTAATATCATATTATATATATTTTCATCCAATAGGCTCCCAAGTCGTTTAAGTCAAACCGAGCTATTCTAGAGCACGCTTTTGTCATCTATAAATCATGGGTAACTCCCCAGCTACCCGCATGGGGAAGCACTTTAACTGTGGTTCGAACGTTTTGTTGTTGTTAAGCGTACGATATACATAATACTCTTCAGCACGTAATATTCGATAAAACTAGATTCCTTTTACTAGAATTAAAGCAAAATATATTCTTCTGTCGCACCATTTGAAAAATGACAGTGAAGTGACAAACACGACTCTAAATTAGAAGACATTAACAAAATAACAAGCCCACTGCATGGATTTTTTTTTCTCCTAATGCTACGTTAAAAATGAATAGATATTACCTACCAATCCCATCGCTACTTTAATTTCTACAGTTAACAGGTAGCTAAACCGCACAAAATTATTTATTACCAGACTTTGCGTACACATATAATTACATAAAATTCTTTGCGGCGAAATTCCAGTTATTAATATTTGCTTTTGCTCGTAACTGCGGCAGAAAGTTTTCATCTCGTCGATTTTTTTTTCACTTTCTCCGCTCCTTCGTACACGTAATGTATTCGACCGCGCGTACTCACACAAGCTGCGGGCTCCATTTATGGGGTCAGCCGAATTTCGATCACTTTCATTAATTTACTCAATTCCTTGCAATCGACGTCTTAATTTTCAAGACACTCTTTCATCTTGAGATATTAAGATTTTAACTCACCTTTTCCTCGTCAGCCAACAGCGTGTCTTGTTCGATGGGCATTTCAAATGTCCGTAATTTTAAGGATTTAAAATTTGCACAGGCACCCGCGATTGTCCATCGAAATTTTATGCACTTTCATAAATTTCGCGCCCCCTTTTTAAGACTTAAACGCTGCCTAAACCAACAACGAAAACAACGGATCCACTTTAAATTTAACACGATAAGCACCCGGTCGGTTAACCACATAAGAATTTGTCACCTAAACATCCTTTATTGACGCGGCACACTGCCGAAGACGCTTCGGATGTAAACAAAAAGCACGCGGATGACAGCTGAAAACAAACGGCCGAAAAGCCACATTGCCAGACTTCGTTTCACGGTGAGTTCGGTTGAAAAAAAAATCGCCTTTGAAGGAAAATTTATAAACTTAACAGAAAAGCTTGGCGTCAAATCAAAAAATATTCTGGCTCCTTTTTAAATTCATTACACTATGTGACGTAAGAGAGGTTTAAATTTTAAAATTACATCCACTAAATTTTTTGCGTTAGTTTCCATGCGGCTTTAGCTACACTCTATTTAAAAGGGACTTGGTTTTAAGCTTGGTATTTGTTAATAAAAACCTTTTTAATAATGTATTTAGCAATAATTTTAATATTAGTAAACAAACCAAAATGTCACAAATTCAGGAAATATGCATGAATTCTGTGGTAGGGATTCTGTGGTGGAGCATTGCACGCGGCGGTTTAACCTCCGTTCGCTCCCGACAGAATCCCTTGTATTCGTCCTCAAAAGTTTGATATCGGTTTCCACTGTGTGGACTTAGTGTTTTTAGTGTTCAGTGCATGTTTTAAAGTGATAATCGTCGTCGGCCCCGTCGTTTTTCCCTGTTCACGCCGGTATGGAGGCCGGATGGGCCCGGATGGTCCGAGGTGGAAGCGGGGGGAAGCCGATTTTTTTGGTATCGGTCAGAATCGTTTTTTGCTAGCTGAGCAAATTATTGGTTATTCTTCTTCTTTGTACGTGGTGGTCATTGACCAGAAGCGAAAATCCTCGACGGAAGTCGGCAATGGGCGAATGATCCTAGCAGTCGAGCCCAACATTTTTTTTTGTGAAACGCATAATTGAATTGAATTCTGTGGTACAGTTTTCTGTGAAACGCATCATTGAATTGAATTGAATTCTGTGGTAATGCACCTTTCCCGGTATAACCGATTAATATCTGTTTAATTGTTTATAGCGTCGTACAATCTCGCTGTCTTTTGCTGATCGGCCCTGATCATTGGCCGAAGTGCGCAGAGTTCTTGTTTGGAATCGCTTTAATAACTTTCTTGAATAAATGACAGTTCCTGGCTTGGTCACTGACCAACAGTAAAAGTCATAGAACTAGAACTTGTATCAGTCTCTGCGCAAAAGCTGGCACTGGGTGTATGATCCTAGCTAAGTTGTCCAGCATTCTCTAGTTCAAGTTTGAATTAAGATACTATGAAAAAAGGATAAACTTTTTTTAAGATATTATTCTATGGTCTTAACCTAAAAACACTCCAAAGGCTTACTGATTTGAAAAATATAATACTATTCGCTTTAATAACAATATAAAGACGAACGTTGTAGTGCAGAACCAATATGTTAATGCTTCAACTAGTTTTCTTAACCTGAGGGGATTCCAGAAGCACAACACTCGTCAACTCTTCTTCGACATCTTTGTGTTTGATGAAAGACAAGAACACATTGTACAACATTGTTACTGCATTTATCCACAAAACTTGGTATTTTACGGGTACATAATAAAAATTCACATATTGGGTGGGCACCCATACACACCAGTCCATCTGAGAAAGTTTTGAAGTTAATTTTTTGGTGTCACAATTTTTCGGTTAAACTGACCACATAGACGTCAACAAACTTGCGGGCTATCTCCTCATTAATGTTTCTGGGAGTTTTCATTTCCAATAAGCCCATGCCATAGAAAAATGTTGCTATACAAATGGGGGACATCATAAACTGATCTAAACCAATTTTTTTTACAACTGTGGTAAAATCCCTTTTGGGCATTATTTTGGCTATGTATAGGTAATAGTAGTGATGTATGGGGCCAAGAAGGAGCCCCACAATGAACATTCGTGCTGAAACGAGCAAACTGGTTTAAAATATGCATATTGGGGATAATTTCAAATATATTTACTCATTCTGGCTAAGTCATATCTCTCCTTAAGTTTATGTTGTCTATATTCGATTTCCTGTTGGCACGCGTCACCTACAAGCATTAAAACTCCAGAGCTGACAATATTTGTGGTAAGCAGATATTTTCCAAAAACCAAAGTTGGAATGGATCGGAATGGCTTCTGAAGTGATTTTGAGGTACTAACATATCTCACTACAGTTGTTACTAGAGCTCGTCGTGGCATTCCAAGTAAAGATTGCATTAATTCAAAAATTTTTTCTTAAAAAAGGTTAGGGTAGTTGGAATAATTTATTTTCTCATCAATGGCTTATGTACACACAACCTAAAATGGAACAATACTATCTTGATCGAATGTTGCGTAATATTGCTAACTTTTTAGTTTTTTAACCAACAATTTTCATTCCATTACAACAAATTGCATTTTATCACAGACCAATAACTGAATTCCTTGCATTCATAGACAATAAAAGCCGTGGTCGATAGCATAATTTTTGTATTCATCGTTTAGGACACTTTATAGATTCCTTTATATTCACGTACAGTCTGTTTAAAACAAAAACATGGAAATTGTGGTTCAGTCTATAGAAATTAAAAAATATATATTTTTGTTGACGCCATGGTCGTGCTGCCATCTAGCGCTGGCTAGATTAAATTTAATTTGCTTCCTGTCCATTATTACAGAATTCTGTTTGGGCGAAGGCAAAGCAGTTTCCTCTGTTAGAACTCATGAAACCCATTGTTAGGAGCTGGATCGTCTTGGAGTCATGATGAACTATGGCTACTCCCGACGGTTTTCAAAGTTTTGATTATTGGCACGACACAAACTTTAATATGTGCCCACGAGTTTTATTTTTGTTGAATTTAAATTTAAAATCCAGCCGCCTAATTTTTTACGTTAATGAAACATATTTATTCATTCTTTCAGAAGTTGATTATACATATGTAAAATATAGGGCAAGCTTATCTATCATATTAAAGATATATATGGCTTTGAGATGGATCTTTTATTTAATCAGTTGAATTAAGACGCTGTTTTTTAAGTAGGTGGATACAAATCAAGAACCTTTTGTTATTAACAAAATTTAATTCTATAACTGCTGTTTGGGGGTATAAAATGAGCTTAATTACTTCATTTTGGTACAACACTTACATACACATTGCCAAGATTCTCTGCAAAACGATATTTAAAAATTATTTGTATTTTTTTTTTTAAAGAAAGTTACAATAATTTCTACACAATTCAGTCAATTATTATTATATTCATACACACTAATTATGTTCGATAAGAAATTGTGGATGATACTTTTTCTTACGATAAAATCGACACTTATAAATGTACGCGTTTTCCCGAATACAACTTAAATACGTTTGTACCTTATAATAAACTAAAATCTAAAATATCACTTAAGCCTGCCCTGGCGCGCGTCTGTCACGCACCCCCATAGTTCAATGATTAGTTCGTCCGTGAACTCGAACGCTGCTAAATCGGAGTCGTCTATGGCTTCTGCGAAATCCATCGAGTTCTGTTTGCCTTCACTGAGGTCCCAAATTTGTGTGGCCAGTTCAGAATCGTTGATACCCATAAATGACTCGAGAACGACGTTGATTTTTTCGATGCCGGCGTCCATCGCGTCATCCTGAAAGTATTACCATTTTTCGCAGGTCAATTTGAAGTTTTAAATCTTTAAGTCTAGTCTACTTTTCGTGTTTGAGGTGGCGAGTTTATTGCAAGAAAAAGAAGAGGAACATGTCAGTTGTCAACTACTAGGGCGTTATTTTGAACTGATGATAATTTTAAAATCCATAATTTGTATTCATCGATAGAAGAATAAATCTACAGTTGTGGTTGGCGGTATTGTTCTAGACCAGATTCCTGATTACGTTTTTATATAATGACGTGGTGTCGAGATAAATTTTTCAAATATTTGTTTACCATTACACCGCAAATGTATTACCGAGTATAATAAAACCGATATCCAATTACAAGGTTACGCGTTGTCTTATTTACTTAAAGTGCGTAACATATTAAGCCCAACCACCCAAACAAGTGAAATTCTTTAAACTATGTGTCAATACTATAGTACTGTAGCAAAAACTATAAACGTCAAAAATAGACATTTTTATACAAATTCAGGTGTAATTAATGGGAAAATACCTAATTTCGTTATTTATGCTTAATACATCGCATTCTTTGCATAGCGCCACACAAAGCAAAAATGGGAAAATACAAAAAAGAAGAAAGAAAAGTTTGAAATGTTTAGCAAATATTATAGATTATCAAATTAACTATAAATTATTTAAAAATAATTTTATATTTCAAATAATTTTGGTTTAGATTTATTTAACGTTTTTGAAAGCCTTATATCTATTTAAATTAACTAAAAATTATTTTATATTTTAACTTTTTAACTATTTAATGTGAAATTTTAATGAAAGTTATCAACTAAAAAAAAAAAATAATAAAAATGGTAAAAGAAAAAATAAACTTTTAAAAATACTTAAAATTTTGAATTTTTTGTTACGTCGATCTATAGAGATGCACAAATGTCATTCTTTTGTTTCAAAATTTCTGTCAACCACAAATAATTAATACATAATGATTGAACAATCGATTATATTGAAATTTTAATCGGTTAAACAAAATATCACTTTTGTTCTGTAATAGAATGTTCACTTGACTTAACTCTCGGGCGTATTCAAAAACTTTTTTAGTTGATTGCTGCTTTTTATTAATTTGTCTCAATTAGAATTAAATTAAACATAGTATGGACGTCCAGCTAATAAAATAAGTAAGTAAATAAAAACTTAAAAACGTAAACCGCATTCACGTTCCTTCTTAACTTCTATTTCTAATTCTATGGACAGATCGTAATTTATGGAAAAATATGTATTTTTCATGTTATACTCATACAAGAAATTTAAAAAATGCTTTTTATTATGTGTTATATATATTTGAAAAGCTAATAATTAAAAATCATAAGTTTAGTTTATATATAAAAATTTTAAAATGAAAGCCGAATGCGCCACTGAATCCTACATAAAAACCCTATCCAGACCAGTTTTTGCCTTTTCGTTAAGGATACGTATAACAACGCCACAAAGGTTGTCTAAATATGTAGTTTCGGAAATCACCGCATTTAAAAATTGAAAATAGAGTGACAGTGACATTTCTGCCACCTTTCATTTTATGAAAAGGGATCCTCTATGGACTAGTAATGTTTAATATGCCTATTAAATAGGCTGTCAGTTGTAAAACTTCATTCATCGGTTCAAAATATTTTTAATAAAGAGTAATCATCTGCTTTAAGCTGATTTTGGAGCTAATTAACCAATTTTGGCCGCCTAATTTCATTAACGGGCCTAAGTTTTTTACTTAGGATAGATAGTGAATGGAATGTCCACCATATTTGCGTTTGCGCGGGGTAACAAAATTAAAAAAATTAAAGATCTTTATCCTTTTCAATATTATCAATTCGGCTTGGGCTTGCTAAAATTAACTTGCTGAAATCAATAAATCTCTATCCAATTTGGCAAACAAATTCGAATGCATTCACTAGCAATTCATAACCAATTGCTATAAATACGTAACACATTGAAAACATCTGTTTTACTACAAAGTCTAAATGTAACTACATACTACAGCAGAAAATATAAGCAACAACTATGTCAAAACTTTTTGACATAAATGCTTTTGTTTCACAGTCACCTTATTTTTTCTTTGTTTAATTTTATTTTTCTGTCAATTTTAGGGCGGTGCCATTTGATTCAATAAAATAAAATATAAAAAATAAATGGTCTTTAAAATTCGAAATGCTTGTAGCTCAGTTTTGGGTATATGTTCATTTGACATTTTTAAGTTGAAATCACTCCAGCAATACACTCCCAAACTATGGCGGTCATGTCGTGGGAAATGTGCTGTATAGGAATTCGCATTTGAAATTGAGAGACACATGAAAAAATTACCTGTTCTTCGATCTGAGCTTTCCCCCCCGCCTTAAATCGTAGGGTCTCTTTTCCGGATCCGTAGCTTTTCTTCGGAGTTTTCGACGAACCCTTAGGGCCGATACTACCGAACCCGCTGTTCATAGGCTCGACGAGCCTGATGGTGAACGTCGAATCCTTCGGGATAAGTTTCAGCGCGTTCGCCACCTCGAAGTGACGTTTACCCACCATGCTCTCGCCATTCAACTTCTCTATGTGATCCCCCACCTGAAAAATGACGCAATGGTTACGCAATAATGTCACAGGTCTACAAAATTAAACTCTTTGACAGACGTTATTATTTTGAAAATTGGTTTTACATAACTTTGGTAGGCTGATTTCAGAAACTGTACGCATTTATTTGTATCACGTAAGGTTTTTTTTACTTACTTAAAGAATTATAGAAGAACTCAATTACAATTGCTCCACTAAAATAAAAGCTGAGGGAAAGGTATCTGAAGAAATAAAGGTAAACACAGGAATAAGACAAGGAGACAGCTTATGTCCGTTTCTATTTAACCTGATTACAGACAAAATGATAGAAAAAGTAAAAAGACTAAGAGGATACAAAATAGGACGCGGACGATGCGGTACTGATATCTAATAGCGAAGACAGCGTACAAAGAATGTTACACATATTTAATAAAACCCCAATATCAACAGAGAAAACTGAATGTGTAACAGTATCTGCGGACCACTATGGAACTTTCGCAAAATCGATGTGATTTAATTGTGCATGCATCCTGTATAAAATGTCCTTCACATCTCGTGGAACTTCAAAGTTACAGCAAACAGCGGTAAATATCAAAATTTGGACAAATAATCGCGTTGTCGAGTGATATTTTTTCAAATATCTCGCGCCCTGAATAGTTGCCGAAACCTGAAACTCTCACGACACGGTTTACGATACTGTTTAAATAAAATTATCTCATCTTTAACGGGTTTTCGTTTACCGCCAATAATTTAGCCACAAAAACGGAAATTTTGAACGACACACCCTGTGTATGATATGATTGTTCGAAGTCGAAGTTGTAGCCCTGGATTTTCCACGCGTCCTGGTTCAAGAATTTTTTGAAAAGAGTAAATGGTTTTCGACAAAATAAGTTTTTTCTCAAACCATGCAGTGCGCCGTAATAATAAATGACGTCATGGCGTCTTGACAGCCCCCGAAATAGCGATTTCAATATGGATTTTTTCAAATATACCAAGCAGCGTATGTGATAGGCGAAAACCGTTTGAACTAATTAGCCATATTTTGTACGATCGAAAATCGAGAAAAAAAAGATGGATGCCGGCGTCGGATTCTTACAAGCTTATGTACCTCGGGGGCAAATTCCAATTTTGTGGCTCCAACGGTTCGAAAGGATACACTTTGAGAGCTGTAAGTTACTAGCATCGGTCAACGGCTATCACAACAGACTAGTCAGGGAAGCCATTGAGATTTAAAAACACCCACACAATTTCAACCGAAAGGAGGAGACCCTTAGACTCAACCAAATCTGGAACCCGATCCTTAGGAACGCCCGAGCAGTACCGATCGATATCCCGAGACCAACCGAAGCGGAACAAGCCCCGCCCTCCACCAATCGGCATAAATACAACCTGCGCAGGAGAAATCGTCAGTCTACGTCCAACATCGGAGATGGAAGGACCTCTGAAGAAGCTCGCCACTCGTGCTAGCGAAACGTTAGGAAGTAATTCCAATCGACGACGGCCTTTAAACCCGAATGAAATTAATAGCTGGTTCGAAAGTTATTCAGGAAAAACTAAAAGACGAGAACGGACAGACAAAAAAAAATTACGGTGATCATTTCTGTACCAACGGCGCTCACATAGGACCTACCGTTACCGAGATATAAAATTTTTATACGAGCGCAGAGACTCAAATTCGATTTCATTGATTTTCGAAAGTAACAAGCCACCGAGATATTTACCAAGAGACGATATACCAAGTAAGGAAAGCAGCAGCCACATCAGGTGCATTAAGGGATATAGTGTGGAGAAATAAACATCTAGGAATAGAAACGAAAACAAGAATCTATAAAATATATATAACAACAATGTAATATTCAAGATATAGTAAGATGGGGACGAGAGAGAAGAAGAAATTGGAATCAACACGTAACGAGAATTGAAGAGCATAGATTAGCAAAGATCACAAGAGATGGAAAACCCGTGGGGAAAAGATCAAGCTTAAGACCACAAAAAAGATGGCAAGATAGCTGGTCAAATAAGATTAAATATTACTCAGTAAACAGAAGTCATTGGACTTGAACGTAGGAATAATAATAATAGTAAGAAGAAGAAGAAAAAGAAGAAGAAGAAGTTATAGTTTGCCTTTGCTTAAGACAACTACCACAGATATAACAAAAGTTATTTGGATTGTTCACACAATGTCTTCTTTCCATATTTATACGTTCTAGAACACTAGAAATACGCAACAACTGCCAACCAAACTGCGCATAAGCAGGTTACAACGCTGTATTGACGCTTCAGCGCCAACTCTGCTGCCTTGCAAACAATTCTAATATTATCCAGTGTTGCCAAATCACATTTAATTTCATAAAACTAAATTCATTTAAAAATATGGAACAAACATATGTTATAGGTGTGTATATTAATAAAATAACATTTTTTAAGATATAGAGAAAAAGTGACGCAATGGCGTTTATTTGTAAAAAAAGGCCCCCAAAAATATACTTTAGCTTTTCCACATCAAAATCGCTGTGTTTTCGAAAAAAAAAGTCACATATCCGTACGTGCTTCCGTGATACTTCGACGGATGTTCTCTCTCGCGAGGTTCTTTTTTTTTAATCTTCGACGAGTGTACCGCTTGAAACGTGTTTTTAATAAGCTGAAATTAAGGTGAAAGAACCTATATAACCGACTTGGCTGCCTTACGGGATAATTTTTAGCCTTCGGTTTGTTACTTTAGAGAAACACGTCCGATTCTGGCCACCTCCGACGGAAACGACGTCGCCTACCAATAAATCGAATGGAAGTGGCCCCGGATCCGAGCTTTGCGGTACACCGGAACCAAGGAGCGGTATTTTTTACATAACACAGCGGCATTACGGTGTTTGTTACTTTTTTGTTATGATACAGGGTGTCCGCAAACGAACGAATGAAATTTTTGTAGCTTATTCTGCCCAAGTAATGAATACTTACGATTTTATAATTTAGCGGCATTAAATTTTTACACCTTTTTGTAATTTTCGAAAGGATACAATTGAAGTTTTCACCGACTCATTGTATATGATGATCGTTCAAAATCAGCAAAATACTAAAAGTTTTTCATGTTTGTCTCGTACACAACGGCAACGGCTGATCTAAAAGTGTGGCCAATTTTATAACAAAAGCCAACTTAATTTAATATTAATATTTTATTTGTAATTTTGGGGATAATTGGATAAGTACAAATGGGCCTGACGGGTGGCAATTTTGCAAGACCTGCCGCAAATACCTTCATGAAATTTTAAGAAAATCAAATTTGTGAGGTCATTTATCCAAATAACCCCATACCGTTATACATTTTTCAAATGCTTCTGTCGAGCGAAATCAAATTTGAAATACAAAAAAACCAACATTTATTTTTTTTTCAAAAAGACGAAACCATTAAAAAAAACTGACTACGCTGCCGATTCAGATGCGCTTGTCACCTTTCCGATATTTCATATTATACGAGGGATGCTCCAAAAGTTCAATTTTCCAAAATCACCCTGTATTTTAAAAACTAAGCATGTCATGAAAATTTTTCATCATCTTTCATTTCACAAGTACCAAAAAGCAAGATAGGGTCATGCGAAGACACATGGTTCTATCTTCACTGACAACGACATATCAGTTTACATATAAAATTTTCTCGAAAATTCTTGCACTCTGGCACACAGATTACTAATATTATTTTGCAAAGAGTTAAATAAAAATGAAATTTAATTAACATTTAAAAACATTACGATCTGTGACTCAGTTATTTTTGAGTTTTTAAAAAAATGCTAAATTAACCCAAGTTTAGTATTAAGGTGCATGACAAAAAAAACTACCAGATTGTACTACTATATTATACTTATAAATTGTAAATAATGAAGACTACAAGAGATTTTTTATCATATAATTAAAACCTCCATTAGCAAAACGTAAATAAAGATGATACAGATCTCCAAAATAGCCAATTAAATGTCCAGAAGCGTTTCCTTTTCGAGATACAGGGTGTTGAAATGCTATAAAAACTGTCTTTTTCTTAACAACAATGGATTCAACGCTACATGTTTGTGTTATTTTAATGGTCGGTCACTATCTACAATATTATTTATTAGATTTGTATCATAGACTGTTTCACCAAATGATGAGGAAAAAATGGAAGGGATGATTCTATTCGAGAAATTAATATTAAAATAGATAAAAATATGAGTTCTTCTTCAGCCGTACAGAAAACTTGGGACATAAATATAATTATCTTCTTATCACAGTCATCTCCCATTACTATTAACGCGCATGACAAAGAAAACAATCCCCATTGCGGGCCATTTCACTTTAAAATACCCCCTAAAATGCACCAGATTATAGAAACCATTATTCCGCTTGGTTAGATACAAGGGATTTTTTAATTTAATTTTTAATTAACACCTCAAAAATCAGAACATATATAAAGAAAATGATATAGTTCAGTTAACCATTATTTAAATCTCCATTAAATTTTCAAAAGCGTCTCCTTTCCGAGGTACAGGACGTTGAAATTCTAAAAAAACCTTTTTTTTACAACAACGGACTCAACTTTACGTGTTTGTGTAATTTTTATTGTTGGTTCCTATCTACGCCATTGTGTATCAGATTTGTATTATACAGAGTGAGAAATTAATAATAAAGTACATATGGTATTTTTTCGAATATTCTAGCGCTCTGGTACACTGATTTCTAACAATCTTTTGGATTTTCATATCAAATTTGGCGTTAAAAATTATTAAAAAAATTTAATTAAAAAAAAACAATTTGTGATCCAGTTATTTTTGATTTTTCGAAAAAGTACCATATTAACCCAAAAGTTTAACCGGTTTCTTGTATATAATGAGCGTTCTAGCTTCTAGTCAAAGTCTTAAAAGTTTTTCATGCTGTTCTCTAACTCGAACTTTCTAACCCCCCCCTTATATAAGACATTGTGGTGTTCTAGATTTTCAATTATTTTAAATTTATCTTTTTTAAAAAAGAAGAAGAATTTTTGTTTTTTTTATTTGCAATGTATAGAACCTTACATTTTCAGAATTTAAATATAAGTTATAAGTCTCAGATGTAGACGGTAATTCTTCAAGATTCGGAATTAACAACCCAAGAAAGCCAAATAGTTAGAAAAAGTGAGAAATAAATATGTGCTACTAGTATTAACGTGCCCCAAAAGGAAAACGATCCCTATTACTAGCCCTCTCACTCTAAATAAAATTTAAATCACATAATTGGGTTGATTCTAGGAACCATTATTCCACTTCGATTAGATCAAGTTTACTTATAAATTGTAAATCGTAAAGAGGATACAAGGCATTTTTTTCCATCTAATTACAACTGCAAAAAAGCGAAACATACATAAACAAAATAAAACAGTTTCGGTATTTTCTCTTTCGAAAACCGGTGGAATTATAAAAAAATACTGTTTTTTTTTAAATTATAATCGTTAAAATACAAGGAGTACTTTTTTATTCAAAATAACTAACCAAAACTTTGGGTTTTTAATATTTAAGATGTTTATAATGGTTTTAGCGATGTTTCTTCGCTTGAAAAAGTTGGCATTATTCGGAAAAAAGTCAAGAGATCGAATTTGATTCAAATTGAGTGAAGGTTGCAAAAATTTTGGGAAAAACAGTGGCGTACCATATATTTCGTAAAATATATTTCATATTAATCTGCTGCGGACGTCACGGATAATAATAAAATACAGTTTTTCTCCTAGATTTTCAACACCCTGTATTTCGATTCTTATTTTGACGTGCGATATAAATTTGGTGCATTAATTTCGCAACATCCTATATATCTGGTATACCATTGGTTTAGCACGAAATCCGTAAACGTAATCTTGGATATAACTCTCGCAATCTAATAAACTCAAGTTCGAGTTACTCATCATTATATTTATATCTTATCTTTGCTTTAGACTATCTTCGACGTAATTACGTATCTTCTAGTTGCCCTTTACGTAGATAAACATATGGGGCGATGAATACCATCAGAAATATACCGAGTAAACTAAATATCGCGGCATTGTTTTTCCGACGGGTTCCTTTTTTTTCAATTTCCGGACGTGCCCATTGCGCCTTTTAAAACACAGCCGCGTAGTCTACACGCTTAATTAATTTCAATTTCTTCAATTAGGCGCCGCTTAAACCGTTTAAGGTTATAAAAGTTCACGCACGCTTTAATTATAGTTACATACCTTCCTGGTTTAAAGGTCTTTAAATTTACAGCATTACAAATGGAGATTGTATAATTGTCCAATTGAATTAACAAACTACATTAGGTTACTCTGGCATTCGCGTGGTACTCGGATATATAGTATGTTTGTTAGGCTGGGGGAGTAATCATCGTATATAATGTTCCCATATTATGCCCTTTTTAATTTTGGCGCACGGTTTTTATAATACAGGGCGTTGAACTTATAAAAACCAACGTTTAATTCATTCATTTTTCTTAAGATGTAATTGTTATGATAATAAAGAAATTACAACAAAAAGTCAAAATTGCCCGGTATAAATTTGGAAATTTGAAGTATAATGAGATACCACATTAGTTTTTGAAAGTGGCCTGGAAAAAAGTTAAATGGTACTAATTCATAAACAAAAATTTCCTATATTTCCGCCTTTTTTGTTGTATTCATTCATGAGAAAACGGAGAACAGTAGATAAAATGTGAGTACGCCACTGTCTTTGCCTAAAAAAATGCTTTAATAATCAAAAATTTTTATAAACAAAAAAGTTATGGGCAATTTTCAAAAAGACAGAAAATTAAAAAACGGCCTACATCTCGGTTGGTGTGAAGATTTCGCCATGCCGTTTCAACTAATAAATTTTTCTCAAAAATCGAGCCCTTGATACGTAAGTCGATTTTGCTCTATGTAGTTCAGAAGTAGGTTTTTTTCTGTCAAAACATTTCAATTACGACCACGCTGTACATCTTATAGTGATGAGAATATGATGATTGTTAAGGTTTCGGTGCCATTTGCTACGTAAATCTTTTGAATTCAATAAGTCGTTAAAAAAAGTAGACTTAGCCCTTTCTTCTTTCTCTTTTTCGTTATAATATCAGAGACTTTTATGGAATTCTCATTACAATAAAAACATTAATGTTATTTGCATTATGCAAGATATTTTGGCTAAAATGGAAAAAAAAACAGGTTACGGCCTTTTTTTGTTGATATTTGTTTTGGTGTTTAAAATTTATTGAAAGTTATATTTTTATTATTGTCAGTTATTAGTGTCAATTATTTACTACTATTCAAAAACTACAATTGATATTAAAAATAAACAAAAGAGGAAAAAAATTATATCTAAAGTGTATTCAACGAAATATGTTTTGGGACCAGAGGCGTACAATGACAAAATTTACTGCACAGCCCGTTTTAACAAAATATGTGAAAAACTGTGAGATTTATAGATAAAAATGGTAATGTTTAAATAGAAATTAAATATTTTCACACATAGAATCTGCCATTAACGAGTTGACCGATTTTTTCGACTCTCCCTGTATAAAGACCTGATTAGATCCCAAGCCAAAATTGATTTGTAATGGCCTTAGTTTTTAAAGTCGTTAAATTGATTAATTAAATAATTAAAGTTAAAATTAAATTAAAATATTTTACTGTAAAATAAACTATAAATATAATTTTAGTAAGTAATAAACAAATAATAATAATAACTACTAACCCCCCTTTAAGTTGATCTTTAAACCGCCATAAATATTATTTTTTAAGTAATGTTGTTTTTTGTTATTTCGTTTTCCATTAAATTCCTCACTCTAACTATTATTTTTATTTAACTTTAATTTACTATAGTTTCATTAACTACAAATCACACTTTAGAATCCAAATTTTATTATAAAACTGTCAAAAATGTTTAAAAGGGCCCATTTTAAGATTTAATATCTGATATGAATTATTGTTTAGAACAAAATATTTATAGTAAAGTGATTAAAGTGGTGAAATAAATGAATTTATTTGCCGTTAAAATCGAACATTTTGAAAGACTCATGGAAGCTAGCATAGCAAATAAAGGAATGTTATTGTTATAAGTACTATATAAATAATATTTAGGTAAAAGTTCACGAAAAAATTAATTACAATCAATGAAAATAAATATTCATTTTGATTTAGAAATACTAAAATGGCGGCTGTACCTACAAAATTTTGTTTTTTTTAATTTCATTTAAATGAAAAAAAAAAAAAAAAATTCAAGCCGCTTGGTTTGCATGTCATTAAATATTCCAATATTGTACGCCTCGACTCACTTTAATGTGGGGTATACTGTCAATGATGGAGCCTTCTTTGATCCTCTTGATGAAAGCGTATCCAGCGCCGTTGTCGGTGATCGTAAGACCCAACGAATCTTCCGATTTTACGATTTCAACTTCTTTCGGCCTACCTAAAAGCATACACACACGTTTTGGGAGCTAGAAATGCCTTATCGGAATCTAAGAATCGATTTTAATTACCGAATTAGTTCAATGTAGACGTTAAAACCCAATGTTGAATTTCCACCCACTCGTCGATTGTTTGCAAATAAGATAAGGCGAAATTGATGTTTCATTGTTACATATTTGTTCTACATAGGATAAACAATTGCTTCTATTACAATATCGCACGATAATTTTTTTTCTTGAGATGTATTGAATTCGTTGGGTTTTTTTTTCATTTTTTAACTCTAAAGACGTTGCCTAAAAAACTTTCATTCGACTTTCATTAGAACTATATCCACGGAAAGCTGTCAATCAGATGTCAATAGTCGTTAGTTTCGACGATTTCGTAAAATTAAAGCTTAATTAATGAAAAAATTTCCTTATTTAGCACAATTTCGAAAATCCTGCGCACAAAATTAAAAAATATACATTTTACAAACATTTTCAATTACACAGTGCCTTAAGTAAAAGCAAGACAATAATACAATAATAAATATTTTTTAAATAACACATATACATTTTTGCATTGTTTTGATTGCTTTTGAAATTCAATGCGATGTTGCCAGTTTGGCGGAAATAGAAAATATTTCAGAAAACGTGGTCTGATATCTATATATATTCAAAATGTTCCGCCATATTTATTTCCAATAATCATAAAATAAAATAAAAGTGGTCCTTGTACATTTTAAATTAAAATAATCGATTTTATCCGCTGTTGGGTATTCTCTATTTTTATTTGGCGTCAGCAAATAAAAAACGAATACAAATTCACATGAAAATAAGTGTGGTACAACTGAAAGAAATAAAGATTAGAATACAAAACTTTTTTTCAAAAATGATTTCAAAACAAGTGTTGAACCATGTATTGAATGTATTGAAAACGGTATTGGTCGTATTTTTAGGTAAGCATTACATATACAATGCACTGACAATACAATAACAAATATTTTTTAAATGGGACCCATGATATATTTTTGCATTGTTGTTATTTTTTATTTCTATTTGCCATTAATCGATAAAGAACGAGCACCAAATCACATAAATATGAACCTACCATTTACTACGAAGGAAGAAAAAAGATAAGCATATGATAAACTTTGTTCAAGATCGAACTTTGAGTTGAGATTTCAACTAATTAAATAGTCTTCTTTTTATGTAAGCATTTTAAATTTACTTTCAATTTTATTGTGTATCTTTAAGTGATTTCGAGTAATCTTTTATCGAAAAAATTTTTTACAATTTTACAAAAATTTACAATTTTGGTTAACCAAAACATTTCATAGTCATTACTATTACTACTACTAGGCGCTTTACTGAAGTAGAAGTAGATTACAATTATCATCTACGCTCGTTGTTTATGCTGTGCCTTTTTCCAATTAACTGCCCAAAAACTTCTCGAAAGCAAAGCAAGCAAACCCTACACTGTTCAGGAATAACTAAATTTCAAAGCAGCATTTATATAAATTTGTTAGCTTTAAATAGTTAGTACTGCCATATAATTTTAAGCTATTTTTGTGTTATTTTGTAATACATACTTTTTTAGCTTTTTTTTTTAACCTTGTAACTATTTGTATCTTTATAAATACGTTCTATTTGTATGTATCTATTTATAAAGTAATGCATTTGTTATCCTTTTGGGAACCTCGCATTACAATTCTAAAAGAATCGGTCTGATGTACACATTTTTTGAAGAAATGATGATTTACAAAAATATATATACATAGTCGGTTCAATTTCCAAAAATGTATTTTTGAAGTGCCACAATTTTGAGGAACACCTTGTATAATCGAATATATTTTTCAAACGTACTTTTGACTTTATGCAACGCATTTGAGATAGTTTTTTGGCACAATGCTTCGCGACCCTGTATACATTTTTAAAATGTTTGTTGGCAAAGTTTTATGGCACTGTATAAACATATGCCCCATAGAGAACGCCGGTGTTATGTTCAGTTTTTGTTTATCCCGTTACTCAAAAATTTCACAGTCGTGGTCGTTGAGACAAAAAGGAAAAGAATGTTTTCTATACATCTTTTATATAGGCGGCCTACGGTGTGCGATTTTGTACCGCTACGATCTGTCATACCCAAATAACCGCCACAGACCATATGGCACCGAAGGACAATTATTTATAAGGTCGTAAAGAAAATTGGTCAGGCAATTTAAACAGTTATATCTGATAGAATCTGATTTCAGTGAGGCGATGACGTTTAAAACGGCTACACCGCTATACATCATAATCCATTTGACAGTTTTATCAGTTCCAATGTAAATCCCAACGATTTTCTATTTCGACTTTGCCGTCGAAAATGTTAATTAGCGTCTATCTATCCCGGTTATCGGGCTCAGATTTTATATTTGTAGTATCCAAAATCGACATTCTTGTCTTATCGTATACTTGGGACGCCATGACATACCAAGTCATTTATTTTAATTTAAAGTAAAAGTACCTTAACAAAAGTGAACCTTGAAAATATAAACAGACAATATAATTATATAGATAAACAGTGCAAGACTAGAACTCAAACAGAGAACAGAACAAGAGAAAATGTAATAACTCAGTTTCACTGTAGAAACGTACAACTATACTGAATACGAGGTGTCTTCAAAAAGTAAGGTCACGTTTTAATCAAAACCATTTGTTTATCAAAATTAATATAGTCCTCTTCAAAGTAATGCTATAGGTATAATAAACTCATTCTAGAAGCATTTATGATAAGCACTTTCTGGTATAGCCTTGAGTTCTTCTAGGTTTTACTTTGTCTCCTCAATCATTCAAAACCTCGTTCGTTTCATGGGTTTCTTGAGTTTTGGTAACAGGAAAAAGTCACAGGGGGTCATATCCGGTGAATATGGTGGTTGAGGCATGATTGTGGTTTGTTTTTCCGGACATTTTCTTCGTATTGCTGCTCGCAAACGGCGCATAACTCCAAGGTATACTATTTTTTGGCGGTACGACATTGTGGTATGAACTGTTAATGTACTTAATCAAAGAAAACAGTAAGCAAAATCTTGACATTTGATCGAACTTGACGTGCTTTTTTCGGTCTTGGCGATTCTGGGTTCTTCCAATGATATGACTGGGCTCGGCCATCTTGGAACAGTTTGTACCACTTATAAATATTTTTTTTTGGTAAAAGCAGATATGCCACATGCCATTGTCAACATTTCAAGTGTTTTGCAGCAGTGTATTCCATTTTTTAAACAAAATTTTATGCAAAGGAAATTTCCGGGCACACAAAACCCGTTTAATGCCTCTGTCGCACAAAAAAAAGGAAACGCGCAAACTGGCTGAAACTGTGAATATATGTTAGGGACATGTGTACCAACATAACGTAGCCAAGTATAACGTAGTTTGAATCGAACAGATAGGGTCAGACAATTTTAAATAAAAGTTATCAATTCAAAAATTAAAATCTTTGTTATTTATTAACAGAGTTCTATTGGTACCAAAGACCCAGGGAAATGAATAACATGATTGATCTGTAAACTGCTGAGAATTACAGAAGTTTAAAAAAGCTGTTGTATAAGTAGAAAAATTATAGGGCCCAGTAAAACCTGGACTTAAACTTTATATCTAGAATTTAAAGAACTATAGTATCAAACGCTCTATTGTATGTATGACAGTCTTACCTTTTCTGTGAGCAAATATGAAATCTTCCAGACCGATCTGACCACCTAACAGTTTCTTCATGTCGGGTTTGAATGTGTTGAGCGTGCAAAATAGTATCTGAAACAAAAACGACATTATACAATACCGTAAAATAGCTTGAAATATTTTTAAAAAGGCATTCACGCATCCTAGGTTTTTATAGAATAATATTTAGCGTTAGTTGAAAACAGGCGAGTTCAGGACAACCAACCTCACGTTCGTTGATGAAATATTAATTAGTAGGGCGGTAAGAATCACTAATTAAACTTCCTTAGATTTGGGAGTCCGTAGTAATTTTATATAGGAAGATGCTGTATCATTTGAAGGAATAAATGTCTTCCAAAATAGATCATAAAATGCAATAATAATAATAATAGTATCTTTATTTCCACATCAATCACTGCAAAGTACATACTATATATATATATATATATATATATATATATATATATATATATATATATATATATATATATATATGATGACACTATATTCCGGGATATCATCCGTTCGCTCGTTGAACTCCGACTGGAATCCTGCATCCGACTGGAATCCTGCAAATCTTGCATCCGACTGGAATCCTGCAGACGTTTCGCCAAAATCTCACTTGGCATCTTCAATGCTCGCGCTCCGAAAACACTTCGAACACGGAGTGCGAGCATTGAAGATGCCAAGTGAGATTTTGGCGAAACGTCTGCAGGATTCCAGTCGGATGCAAGATTTGCAGGATTCCAGTCGGATGCAGGATTCCAGTCGGAGTTCAACGAGCGAACGGATGATATCCCGGAATATAGTGTCATCACATTTTTCCATCCGTGAATCAATACGTGAGAATATATATATATATATATATATATATATATATATATATATATATATATATATATATATACAGGGTTTTTCAGTTAAAACTCCGCACACCAATAAGTCCAAAACGAAAAGAAATATTTAATTTATGTAAAAAGTAGTCAAAGTGTGGGGTCAAGTAGATATTTCCTAAAGTTTAAAAAATTCGTATTCGTATTTGAACCGAGAATATCCCAATAGATGGTTTGGTACTAATGGACCGGTAAGGTGGCCGGCGAAGTCCCCGGACATTACACCACCAAATTATTTTCTTTGGGGCTACCTAAAAAACGTTATCTATGAAGAACATATCGAAGATATGGCTGATCTCATTAACAAAATTAGTGCAGCGTGTGCCGCTATCACGAGAAGGACTCTCCTACAAGTGACCCAAGCTCATCTGTTAAAAGTTTTTGATAGTTGTGTTCGAGCAGATGGACATAATTTTGAACGAAATTTTTGAAATGTTTTATTATGTAGTTAATTGCAATAATAATTTTGGTTATTTTCTTGTAGGTATTTTACTGTTTTTTCATTTATTTATCATGTTATCAGAACTAAATCGATAAAAAATAATAAATAAAATCATACTAAAATAGTTGAAATCTATTGTTTGTAATTGCACTTAAAACAACTGCGATAACAATGGTTACCATAGTAACTAACATTCATGGCATACTTGTAAAAATAAGCGTTAATCACATTTTTTATTAATCAAGAAATGTTTACTTTAAATCGGTATAACTTAGAAACGGGTAAAGTAAATAAGTTTGAGTAAATAACAAAAAAGTTTTTAAATAATATGTACTTTTGTATGCGCGTATTTCCAAAGTCTCTGCAATCGAATAATTTTTCGACGCGTCGCGACGCCCAGCTCTTTGCAGGCCTCGAATTTTTTAAACTTTAGGAAATATCTACTTGACCCCACACTTTGACTACTTTTTACATAAATTAAATATTTCTTTTCGTTTTGGACTTATTGGCGTGCGGAGTTATAAGTGAAAAACCCTGTATATATATATATATATATATATATATATATATATATATATATATATATATATATATATATATATATATATATATATATATATATATATATATATATATATATATATATATATATATATATATATATATATATATATATATATATATATATATATATATATATATATATATTATTATATTTAATTATTATTAATTATTATTATTATATTTAATTAATTAAATTATACACTAGTGATATCAATGTTGTTGTAACTTCTGCTAAAACACTGTTAAAAAATGCGGCGTTTAAGATTTACTGGAGCAAGGTATTTAAAATGGACATGGAAAATCTGTGGCATTCTGAAACAAATATTTAAAGTATGTATACTATGTGCCAAATAAAACGATCCTATATACGATCTGGAAATCCATAGGAGATACGAAAAAAGTTTCGTACTGGATTCTGCTGAAGATTTAGAATATTATAATTTTGTTGATACAGGGTGACCCAAAAATGTCGTCCCCGACATCAACTTTGTTAATTTAAATGGAACACCCTGTGTATTTCGGCATTTTTGGAGGAATAGTTGGTTAAAATAAAGGTAACATTCTTAAGAAATCCCTATTCGAATTTTGCTTAGTTTACGTAGAAATTGAGGTTATGTGTTTTTTTTTTCATATTTTGATTGCGCCATATAAAATTGTGTTGTTACGCTACTGATAAAAGTATTGTCATCAAAATTTAACTACAGACTAAGGAGATGATGCACTACTCAATCAGTTTAACAGATGTCTCAGCTTATAGAGGGTGTCCCAAATCAGTGGTCGAATTCAATTAACAAAATCTCGAGATTTTCATATGGAACACACTATATTTTTATTCAGATATCAATTCTATGACAAAAAAAAATCTATTTGGGACACCCTGTATAAGCTGAGGAGCATCTGTGAAACGGATTGAGTAGTGTATCCTTTCCTTAGTCTGTGGTTAAATTTTCGTTGCAATACCTGTATCAGTAGCGCCACAACACAATTTTATACGGGGCAATCAAAATATGAAAAAAAAACAAACTCAATTTCTGCCTAAACTATGCAAAGTTCGAGTAGGAATTTCTTAAGGAATTGACTTTTATTTTAACCAAGGATTCTAAAAATGTCCAAATAACAAAGTTGATGTCTGGGGGACACTTTTCCAGATCGTATAATGCATAAGTTTTATTTGGCACACGGTGTCCAAGGGACCTAAATATTAAACAAGCCTGTTGCGGTTTTTTTTATAAAACAATATTCCATGGTGAAAACAAAGTAAATGCATTTTTCTTCTAAATTTTTGGTTAGTTTTGGTTTCGTTTTCGTAGAAAACATCAACATTGATTTAATCTTACGTAAGCACGTTGAATATAATTTGGAATGTATTTTTCTACTCCCTTCTGTAAAATACTATGAATATAAATAAATATAATAAATAAAATAATTATACTAAAGTGGGCAAAGTGTCATTTTACTACGTCAGTTTTGGACATTTCCGGCACATTGCCGCACGGACCATAATGTCCTAGAGTAAATGGAAGAGTATGGAAAATGGAGTTTTAGAAGAGTATAAATACCCAGGACTAAAAATACGTTACTGAACAGTAGATTTGCCTCATAGGATAATACAAGGCAGAAAAGCAATATCCATATGTAATTGTATTTTGTTGGACTAAAGTATTCCTAAATCTAATAATCATATACGACACAATAATTAATAGCATAATCACTTATGGAAGCGAGGTACGACAAGTTAAGAAGAAAAGTGAAAATATGATTCTAGCAACTGAAATGGATTTTTGCAGTAGTTAGACCGCAAGATTACAGAAAGAAAAAAATAACAAATAAAAAGATAAGAGAAATAAAACATACATTAGTTAAAGATGAAACAGCTTATGTCAAAACAAATACTAAAGTGGACGCAGGAAGGAGAAAATAAAAGTGGGAGATCCTGAAAAAAATGTAAGGAGGGAATAGGAAAGGAATTGAAACAAAGAGAACTACCACACACTACACGTTCTAAATATTTAATCTATATATTTTTAAGAAATCTTAAAAGTCCTTCCCTTCGTTAATTATCGTCAGAAGACGATATACATTGGGACACGCTGTCAACGATTCGTAACCGACTAATTACGAACAAACTATACGCGAATAATTATTGAAAAAATGTGGCCGATATCCGAATTCCCGCGGCAACTTTCACACGTTCTCGCATAAAGCCGCTCTTTGTTCGATGCGGCGATTATTTTTATGTTTAGCAACAAAACGTGCATTATGGGAAAAACTGGGCGACGAAGTAAAAACGAGAGTTATATGGTTTCGCGGTTTTGCCGAGACGCCACGCTCGGGCAACTTCGAAAGCTTTCAACATATATTAGTTTAATGGCGTTAAACGCAATTAACACTCACTCACTACCTTTCGTGACGTGCACCCTGCCGTTTAGAGAGAATGAGACTAAAGAAATTTTCCAAAATTTATATTTTTTAGTTTATTTTGACATACGCAACTTACTTAGCACGATAAAAAAAACAATCCGTCCCTTTACCACATGAAACCGCAAATAACACTGGCTGATTTTTTCTATCACGTCGATATGATTTTTTTTTATATTTCAAAATTTTGTTTTTTTTTCAATTTTTTCATTCGTCAACGTTACAAAAAGTAAATATACATACGAAATGAGTTTCAGAGAGTTGTAAGAGAAAGGAGGGAAGTGCCGAAGGTGATTTTTATGGTAGTAAATAAGCGCATGCGCAGTATTCATTGTGACACTGCAACAGTTCAGTGAAAACTTGTCGTTTAATTGTTTACTTTTTATATCAAATATTTTTGCCGTTTTTAATGCGAATGATTTGGAGTGAGCCTCAAAATCATGAGAATGATTGTTATTTCTGCATGACATCTACACGAGGATTCTCGAAAAAAAATAGAGATAAGATTGTTTATCTGAACGTCCTATCTGCAAAGAGTCCAATTCCTCGTGATAAAGACATTCTACCTCCAGTTCCACCAGTTAATGATGAAGCTGAAAATAAAAATATTTCAGGTCTACAATCTCAATCGAGTTTTGTTAATATAATTTAGGATTTTTTACTGTAAAACTCAAGCCACCACATTTTTTTATTTCCTTATAATAATTTATACTTTAATAATATTGTTTTTTGATGAAATAAATATTAAATTAAAAACCTACGTGTGGTACTTATTT